AAGAAAGAGTGGCTGATCCTTCAGTGCCAGGGGCACTTAGCCCAATGGTAGCAATGGCTCTAGAGCCAGCCATTGATGCACCAATACATGCCAGTGATGAGGGTATGCCAGTGCCCACTCCAGAAGCCCAGCTGCCTGAAGGCCAGTGTGACCCAATTCTGCAACCCGCCCAAGAAGGAGACGCATCTGCAGTTCAACCAGAGCCCTCCAAACCTATTGTAGTGAGCAGCTCAGGGCCAGAGCTAGAGGCTCCAGGAGATGAAAGCCTGGAGTCTGTTCTCGGTCCATCTGGGGAGCAAGTGGAGTCTCTGGGTCCATCTGGGGAGCAAGTGGAGTCTCTCGGTCCATCTGGGAAGCAAGTGGAGTCTCTCGGTCCATCTGGGGAGCAAGGGGAGTCTCTGGGTCCATCTGGGGAGCAAGTGGAGTCTCTCGGTCCATCTGGGGAGCAAGTGGAGACTCTCAGTCCAGCTGGGGAGCAAGTGGAGTCTCTCGGTCCATCTGGGGACCCAGCTCCCTGGGAGTGCGTGGAGATGGAGGATGTGCAGATTTCCTCCAGGGGGCCAGCCCGGATGTCCATGCTGGAGTTAGACAGTGATGAGGAGACAGCTCGAGTGCTAGATTGGCTGCCCGAAGAGAAGGCGGATCAGTTCTCCATCATGGCCGTCGTAAGTAGCTTGGCAGGGCTGGGCGTGCGGGCTTTCCTTTGCACCTCTACTGCCACACCTGCCTCAGGGCAGAGTCATGCTGACCATTTATTTCTTCTTTTCAGAAACTGTTCAAAAGACTCATCCCTTACCACCTTTTGAGTTATGTGTATGTACAACCTGACCAGGAGGAGTGTCTGGAGCGCCTGGCACCCACTCTGCTTCCCATACTGGAGCACTGTGAGCAGGTCTCCAGTTGTGTGATCACCACGTGCCTCGGGGACCACAGCATGGAGGCAGCAGAGAGAGCCCAAGTGGTGCAGCACTGGATAGAGGTGGCTCTGGTATGAGCAGGAGGGGCCCAGGGACCCTTCTTCCCTTTCCCACTCCCACCAAGTGGCTGCCTGCTCACTCACAGCCACTGCCTAGCCTTAAAGCCCTCCTCCTACTCTGCCCTCACTTGGGCTGTGTGCATTCCTGCCCTGCTTCCACTGCCATTCCCCTCCCCCAAGCTGTCCCAGTTCAGCCTAGTAACAAAGGCCCAGCCCCAGGCCAAGCAGGGGAGCCCAGGAGTTTCCTCCACAGCTCTCCTCACCCATTCTTCACTCCTAGGAGTGCCACCTACGAAAAAATATCTGTACCTTCTTTGGAATTGTGTGTGCTCTGCAGAGCAGCCAGCTCCAAGGCCTGAAGAAGACGTGGAGATTGGTTTGCAGGTGGGTGCACCTTTCTCCTGGGCAACCCTTGCTTCCTCAGCTTAGCATCCATCTTCTGGGAGCCCAATGGCAGTGCCCCATGGCAGAGACCACAGCTCTATGGCCTTGCCTAGGATTTGCCTACTAGGTTGGGATTCCTCTTCTGCCATACATTGCACAAGGCCCTTGGGGGCGTTTTCCTTCAGAGACATCACAGCTACACCAGTCTGTGCAGTGCTCTTCCAAGCAAAACCACTCTGGGAATTGGGGTGGAGCTGGAGGTTTCCCCTCAAGACTTTGCTCCTAACCATGTGACCTTAGGGTCACAGTGGCTCTCCCTGCACAGCCCTGTTCCCATTAGCATAAAGTCCTGCCTCAAAATGGGAAATCCATTCACACTCCTCCTCTCCCTCCCTCTCCCATCTGTCACCTTGTATCTGCCCATTGTCCAGGGAGAGAGTAGCTGTCTATCAGGAGCTGAGGAGGATACACTGCCAGGAGCAAGTGTACAAGGTTGTATGAGCCCCGGAATAAGATTTGACGCTTGGACGGAGGGGAGGGAAATTTTCTCTCTGATGGAATTCAAGGAGCATATCCAACATAGCTAGGAGAAGCGTCGGTTGTAGACTTGGGTTTGGGACAGATTGTATGGGGAACAGGAGGTCCCTGGGGACCCCGTGGAGTGAGTGGAGGAGGCCACCTGGGTGTCTGAGGAGGGTGGAGAAAGTGACAGGGTTGGGTTGTCAAGGTTGCTGCTGAGATTTCCTGTCAAGCTTCCTCCTGAGTGTGGCCTGTGTTGAGGCTGCCTCTCTACACCCCACCAGCCTGGCACCCCCAAGCCATGCCCTGGCTCTATTTCTGGGTGGCCTTCCCGTACCACGAGGGAAGCCTAGCCAGTCACGTGAGGTCAGGAGGTCCCTTCAGATCAGGCAGCCACAGAAACATCTTTCAGGGGATGCAAATGGCCACATCCACCATGGAGACAGGCCTTGGCATATGCTCTGGCCTGCCCAGGGATACAGTGCTGATGGTCACAGGGAGCCTGAGATCCTAGGGCCCAAGCCATGGCTGTCACACCACCTGGAAAGAGGGGACTCTGGAGGGTTGAATGGTTAGAGGATGAATATGTTCATCATCCATGCTAACTGCTGCCAGGGGCGAGAATCCAGATACAAGACCTTCTGGAAGAAACTCAAGAGAGGCCACAGAAAGCCTCAACAATTGGTGAGTGTGCATGCCTGAGGCCAGGGGCTTTCTAGAAGGAGTAGTTGAGGGGGGTCCCCCGACCCAACCGACCTGTTGGCCCACTCCCTTAATGCCCCATCACACCTGGCCTCTGCTCAGATGGCATGTTGCAGCAATGAGTTGCAGCCACTGCACTAAGGCCTGCACCAGAGTAGAGGAGCAGGTGGAGGGCAGGGCCACAGACCTTGCCCGTGTATCAAGTGCCAGCCCTGGAGGGGCCCAGACCCAAATAGATTTCCCCATTCAGGGCTGTGTCTTTGGTATGGGGTAGAGGGTAGATTATTGAGTAATGAGCCTGTCTTGCCCCAAGTTCTGCTAGATAGATGGCTCCATGGGGTGGGGGTAAGTCTGGGGTTCTTGGAAAGAGATTAACAGGACTCACCTAATGCCACAGGACTATCCCGAGGGCACAGTCCCTTACCTGGGCACCATCCTCACACACCTGGCCTCACTGCACAAAGACCAAGATTCCAAGGATGTGAGTGAACAGGGCCCCAGCCCTGGGAAAGCAGATTGGAGACAAAGAGCCTCTCCCTGCCCCTTGACCTCCAGCAAGAGCCCACATCCTCCCTAGCCCCAGAGTGCCAAGCACCACAGCAATCCTACTTGTGATGCCCTATGCCCTCAGACCTCAGTGCTGCTGATGACATGGGGCCATCTCTCAGAGGGTGGTGAGCAAGGGTGGCAGTGTAACAGCAGGTGCTCAAGCTGACATAGCATGTGTGAATAGCATGGCCTTGTCACTGAAGCCTCAAGTCTCTGCCATGTCCACAGAGAGTTGAGCAGTGAGCTCCCTGTCCTCAGGACCTAGGCCTCCCTGCCCTAGACTGAGAGCAATCCTAGTCCAGCTGTGCACCCAGCCTGCCCTCTGCTGGAAGGACTTGGTAGGGCGGCAAGTGGCAAGGCAGCCTTCATTTCTTAACAGATTTTTTCTTAACAGATTGATTCTTTGCTTTGCAGGGTTCTTGGCTCAATATGAAAAGACGAAGAGAGGTGAGAAAATGACACCTTTCACCGCAGGCAGCCAGCTGTGCGGGTGGTTTAGGTCCTTCCTTCCCTCTGAGGATGGTCACATCTCTTGTCCTCCAGAGTACAGGAGATAGGGCCCTGAGCTGGGGATCTAGGGCAGTTTGCTGGGGATGGGCACTGGACCTCAGTAGAGAAAGGCATGTGTGTTCCGGAGAGATAAGGGTGAAGCCAAGTGACGACCCGAAGTAAGCTGCCTGGCCTACCTTGCCCTGGTCCAGGTCCATCACCACTGTGTCCTTTCTCTCAACCAGGAATTCAAGGTGATGGCACTAATGAAGGAACTAAAGGGCTCATGTCAGGAGCTCCAGGTGGTTCCTGACATGAACTTTGTATCTTGGTTTAACAACATGAACCGCCTAAATGAGTTGGAAAGGTGAGCTGGGGTAGGCAGTGGGGGCAACAAACATGGGAATCCCCAGCACCAGTCCATGAGAGCCTGTTGTCTGAGTCAGCCTCCCACCAGACCTGTTGAAGGAAGGGTGTATGAGCTCCTGAGTCCCCAGGGCCCCTGGGAGGGAACCCTCAGGGTGGAGCCTGCTGTCCAACCAGCTACTTCTTGTCTTAGTTCCAAGCTATCCAGGGAGCTGGAGCCTCCCCGCTGGGTAGTTGTCCTCACCAGGAAAAAGAGGAGCCCTCCCCTGAGGAAGCCCTCCGGAAAGTAAGTACATTGGCCCAGGGGCCAGGGACTCCCCAGGGTCTGGGTGGTGGGACAGGCAGCCTGATGAGCTGGGGCTGCCATCCCACCACCTGCCACACAAGCCTTTGTCTGGGTGGTGTGGCCTGACCTCTGCCCACCTCACTTCCTTCATTGGGGTCCCACGGTGGTCCTCAGAGGATTGGGCATAGGGCTACTTGGAATTGAGCAGAAATGAAGTCTGCCTCAAGCCCAGGGGGCAGTGGGTGTGGGACAGCCCTGTGTGCTCAGGGAAGCCCTGGAATTAAGGCAGTCCCTCCATTCAGTTGCCAGGCTTCAACAAGAGAGCTCAGTGACAATGGCAGCTCCCAGTTGGAGACAAATGAGCAGCTCAGCGGTGGGAGTGGCAGACATGTACCCAGCGTGCACTTGGGCTGCTCACCCAAGCCTCCCTCACACAGCAAACGATTATATCGGTCTGCCCCAAATATCTGCATGGCAAAGATGACAGAATATGAGGGAATCTTGCCGTTCCTGAGCCCCCAGCCCTCCAGGAAAGCTGGGCATGGGGCTCTCTCCTAGCCTGTCCTTTCTTCAGCCCAGATGCCTGGACTCCAACCACAGAAAATCCTAATCTCCAGTGCATGATGGGAAATGCATTGCACAATGCACAAAGACTCAAATGTCACAGTTTACCCATTGGGAAGGGTGGGTGGGTCATTTAGATTAAAAACCTATGTGGAAACACTAATAGTCTGTTAAAACCATTTCTTTACAAGAGCAAGGATTTGGTCGGTGCTTTTCTTTGTCTTTGTTAATGGCAGGGACTTCTGCATATCCTATTCTAAGATGAAATCCTTTCGGGCTTTGAGGTAATTTTTTTCTCTGCAGAATGAGCAAGAGCAGGTCCCGCTAGCAGCTAGGCTTTCAGTCAGTCAGGTGTTCTCATGAACTGTTCCACAAGCCTTGAAATCTGAGTGTTGAAAAGTCTCCTTTGTAACAGCCATCATCTGTGTGGGAAGCTGCTGGCTTACTTCCATGCAGGTAGGGAAGCCTCCCTCAACCTGCTGGGAGGGACTGGAGTCGCCATGCACAACTGCAGGACCCTGGGGGAAAAACAACCTGATGCCACACCAGACCCAGGGCAGTGCTCCAGGGAGGGAGACACTGCTGAACTGCCAGAAGTGCTAAACTCAGTCAAACCAAAATCACAATTCTTACAACCCAAGTACATTCCTAAATCCATAAACACACAGATGAAGCAAAACACAGGGAAACATGCAAAGGAGAAGATACAGATCACAGAAAGCACATCAGTCAAATGCCAGAGCCACTCACAGATTCCTAAGGGAATATAAACCCTCTTCCCTCATTATTTCATTGTTCAAATAATTCTTGAATAGTTGCCCCCCTGGGCTTTTATGCCTGTTATAGGAAGATATATTATCTTTTCTCCATTACACAGTTGAAGAAAGCCATGGCAAGAGCACTTCCCCTTTGTGTTTACTTCACAATACCAGAGTTGCAGTGGACAAAATGTCCATCCGGCCAAGCAGACACACATGACCAGGAAGGAAAATGGGGACTATGCTCCTAGAATCCTCCACAGCAGTAGCAAAGGTGCCCAGCAAGAGATCAATAGAGGTTAATGCACAATAGAGGATAATTGTTGTTTCAATCCTCCACTGTAAATTACCTGCCAGGTGCTTGTGACTAATATCTGCAACTTCAGTGTCTCAACAGCCTGAGATCTTCAACCTTATACAACTGAGATACACGCTGTCATTCCAGATATCCTTGTAGACTGTTGAAACCAAACACAAAACGGTCAAAACTTAAATCTTCATATCCATGGCCATACAGTGATAGATTACATGGTCAGAAATCATGTAGAGTTCAGCTTTTGCATGAAAGCTACATTTCACAAAATGGTAAATTCTATCAGATGCAAGAATAGAATAGTCAACCCAACTTCCTAATGGAATCACTGCCCAAATGAATGACGTAACAGCATCAGTGGTGGATGTGATGAGAGGGGAAACACCTGAAGATACAATGTTTACTTGTAAAGAGAAATGTTTCCTTTCTCCTGTGAGGAGATTTCAGATAGCTTTCCGCTCCTTTCTAATTTTGTCTTCAAAATCCTCTTTTCAAGTGGATATTTTGGTTCAACTACTTATCGTGAATTTCCAGTTTTATTGGATGTTAACCAGAAAATGTGTATCACAATTTACAATCTTTTGGTAGAGTTTTCTTTATAAACAGAAAATGTATTTTGAGATCTATAGTGTATTGCTATTGCATCTACTACAGATGCCCTGTGATCCACTGCCTATAGTAGATGAATTTTCTATTCTTATTTTAACATAAAATATTTTTCCTAATAATTTACTCTTATATACTTTTATATGAGGTTAGTTGTGTGTGTGTGTGTGTGTGTGTGTTTGTGTGTGTGTGTGTGTTTTGATAATGGGGCTTGAACCCAGGGCATAGGTACTGCCCCTATACATTATGTTCAAGGTTGCCACTTCTGGCTTTTTGGTGGTCCATTTTAGATAAGTCTCTTGGACTTTCCTCCCTCTATCACCATTGAACTGCGCTCCTCAGATCTCAACCTCCTGAGGAGCTAGGATTACAGGCATGAACCACCAGTGCCCTGCATGATATCAGTTTTATCACTGTTGTTGACACACCACACCAGTAATTTACTCCCTACTCTTCTCTCAGGCAAAATTGTCATAGCACCTCCTGGTTTGTCCTAGTTCAGGTTAGACCAGGATCCTTTAAATCTGCAGTCAACCATAGAGCTACACTCGCAGGTGCTTGTCACCACACCCAGCTTACTGTCTGAGATGGGGTCATGCTAACAGTTTTATTCAGCCTGGCCCTGAACTGTGCTCCTCCCAATGGTTACCTCCACACTAGCTGGGACTGCATGCATGAGTCATGTTTCCAACCTCATGTAATGTTTTTCGGGCACAGGGTAGGTAGAAGGAGGATGTGAGGAGATGGATAAGAGATTGGTTAGGGAGGGATAATGCATAGCTCCAATCCATGCCTTAGGACCAAGGCCATGAGACTGAAGGGCTGGGTCTCATGTTCACAATGAGAAGCAGAAAAAGCTCTTCCCTTTCAAATGTCCTTGGGACAACCCTAGCTTTTCTGAAGACACAGCTTCAGATGGACTGGAAGAAATACTGGGGTTTCAACACAGAAACCTTTGTGCTTCAGTTGTGAGATGGGTGTGGGCCAAACACTTCATTGACTCCTTCCACACTGTACACAATACAGGAATTCCTGCTTGGAGCTACCTGTCCCATTTCTTCTTTATCATTCTAGGTAAGGGCTGAGCTTCACACTCATTCTGAGATTCAGATGATTCTTTTAATTGTAAAGGTGAAATACAGAGGGATTACAGTTAGGCCCTGAGTCCATTTCTTTTCAAAAGTGTCACCCCTTCCCTCCGGTTCTCCCAGTGTTTGTCCTCATGACTCCCCTTACCCCCCAAGTGATAGAGTTCATTTCCTTTCTTTAGCTTGCACCACTGAGAAGTAATCTCCAAGGAATTTTCACCTACTGTTCCCATTGAAATCACTAGAATATAGTGGGGGCCAGAGGTCATCAGGGACAGAGACATCAAAGTCAGGCTGCAAAATAAAAGGACAAACTGCTTCCTTCAGACTCTTGATTTCAGTGGACTACAATGGCAGCTACAGTGAAAGGCCTGTGAGATCCCTGCCTCACCGTCTTGGGCAAGAGGATGTTATCCTTAAACCGTGTCCTGCTTTGAAAAGACTTTGAGGGATCCAGGCTCACAGCTCACAGACACTGGAATTTCAGTCTGTCAATCACTTTTCTAGCATTGGGAGGTTTACATCTGCAGGGAATGTTAGCATACAACTTTCTGAGCTCCAGCCAGTATCTATGAATACCTGCAACTGAAATTGCTTCAGAGCCCATGTGCTCAAGGCTGGCCACTAGCTTCTGGTGTTACTTAGGAGACAGAAGGAAGTAAGTCATGGGGTCCCCATGGGAAGGGTTGTTGGGACCTTGGCTTTGCCATTATGTCGTTTCTGCTTCCTGACCATCACCAGCTCAACAGCTTTGTCATGATTTCTGCCTCCACACAGGCTCAAAGAAAGGTGGCCAAGTGACCATGGATGGAAATCCATAAAACCTTGGACCAAAAGGATCCTTTTGTCCTTTTACAGGCTTTGGTCAGGTGTTTGGTCACAGCCACAGAAGATGACAAATTAGTTTTGGCCTGGAGTCTGTGAGCTGCTTTTGTGAGCTACACGTGGAAACAGGAGGTAGAAACAATAGGTTGAGGAGGCTAGCCAGCTCTTATCTGCACACTGCTGTGCAGTAGGACTTTCTGTTGTGACTAACATCTCCCAATGCTCTGCAACCCCATAGTCACAGGTGGCTACTGGACACTTGGAATGGGACTGGAACAATTGAGAGAATATTTACCATTATTGGACTTGAGCAAATTTAGTGTTCATAACCCTATCTGGGAGAAAGGACTTGGATAAAGAATGGGTGGAAGCATTCCTGGGACCTTGACCAGAGAGCCTTTAGTCACAAAATTATAGGAAATATCTGACTGTTCCCTTGCAGAAGACAAGAAGTCTGTCACAAAGCACAGAGCCACACATTCCGTTTTATCAGGGTGTCCTTACTTCTAACAGAGATCTCCCCAGAGCTGCAATCTGCTCAACACCATAACATGGATAGGTTCAGAAACACCGGAGGCTCATTTCTTTCTTTTTTGGGAGGAGGAAGGTCCGGTTGTGGGGCCTGAACTCTGGGCCTGAGCACGGTCCCTCAGCTCTTCAGCTCAAGGCTAGCACTCTACCACTTGAGGCACAGTGCCACTTCAGGCTTTTTTCTTTTTGCTTATGTGATTCTGAGGAATCGCACCCAGGACCTTAGGCATGCAAGGCAAGCGCTCTACCACGGAGCCACCTTCCCAGCACCCCCCCCCCCCCCAGGCTCATTTCTTTGGCCATACTGTTTTGCTTTTCTGTCTTAAAGATGGAGCTCCTAAGAATCCCTGGCTATTTCTGAATATACAATAGCTCATTTCAAAGCCTCTTACCTCCTCTGCCATTTGATTGAAGAAATCTTTCTTCCTCTTCCCTGAGCATCTTTGTCTCCTCTGCTTCTATAACTAATCTTGCATTGGGCTGTCTTGCAGAGGGCTATCTATAGATGTGATGTGAGATCACATGAAAAACAAGTAAAAGCTCGTTATGTACAGGCATGACTAAGTCACTCAGGTTTACATGCACATCATGGAAGGACCCCATCAATTCCCTGGGGAAACTAAGCATATGGGATACACCTATAATCCAGGATGTATGGAAGGCAGAGGTAACTGCATTGTATTTGTATACGTTCCTCATTCTTGGAATCATTCTTTGGAATGGAATTTCTCCAATTGAACTTGATGAAATCTGTGTGTGTGTGTGTGTGTGTGTGTGTGTGCGCGCGCACGCGCGCGCGCGCGCGCGCGCGCGTTTGTAATGCACATTTCAAGGGTTATGTCGTTCTTTTGTTTTCCTAGTGAGGTGATGAACCGGCTTTGTTCCATAGCTGACAGACAAAGCAGCCATGGAAATAAAAAGAGCAGCCCCCAGGCAAAAGTAATTATCCCACAATTCCAAAAAGAGTAGATGAAAACAGGACATAAGGTAATATTCCATGAAATAAGATATTAGTTATGATGAATAGGAATGAAATTTATTGGAAAACATAGTACTTGAGAACAAAACTAGGCAAAGAAGAAAAACAGGAGGATGTACAGGAATAAAGTTGATAGAAAGCAGGGTGAGAAGAAGAGAATAGAGAAGATCCAGATAATGTGAAATAACAGCGAAAATAATATGACATACAGCATAACAAAATCAAGTTAAAGAATTTTAGGTTAAAAGATAATGAAGAAGCAATGTAGGCACAAGGCTCCTCAGTTCAAATTCCAGTTCAGACAGATAGAAAGATGAAGCAAGGAAGGAACGAAGGCAGGAATGAAGGAAGGGAGGGAAGGGAAGAGAAAAAGAAAGCAAGAGAGAAAAAGGGAGGGAGGAGAGAGGGAGGAAGGAAGGAACGAAGAAAGATAGGAAGGGAGGAAGGAAAGGAAAAGAAACAGGAACAAAGCAAAGAAGGAAGGAGGAAAGAAGAAAAGGAAGTAAAGGCAGAGGAAAGGAATGATGGAACAAAGGAGGAAGGAAAGATGAAGAGGGGCTGGAAATAAAGAATGAAAGACACCAAAATCATCTTTTGTAGTCACAGACCTAAGGCACAAAGAATCAAGCAAGTTGATGTGAGCTGACAATTATTAAACAGAAATACTATTTGTTACAATCCACTGTATGGTAGATAGTTTTTATAAGTGATATAGGTTGGTGGTTCAAGCAATGTTATTTAGTAAGAATGGCTAGAGTGGTCAGTCAGTTGTGGTTTTTTAAACACAGAATGTCCAAAGCATTTAGAGGTACCCCATACATCACTGCATTTGTTTTATTTTGTTACAAACAAGCTTGTCTCCCAATTATCCGTAGTATTGTAACTTCTCAAATAAATGAAACTATCGTGAGCAAATGTGACTTTCTTTTTTGTTTTTGTTTTGTTTGTTTTTAATTTGCAGAGCTTTTCTACTATTCACATCATCAGGTTTGATCACAGTAACATTATACATTTCTGGGGGGGGGGGGGGAACAATAGAATGTCACTGTCTTGGCTCAAAATCATGATAATGAGAGGTGTGGTGTTTAGAAAGGCCTATTTTCTGAAGTGTGGTGAAATTTGATCACTGAAAGCTTTGTGTGTTCTGTGGTATTTCCATTCCCCAAACTTCTACTTAGAAACAAAGCATGCTTCTTATATGTACCCACAGTGGAAGCATGACCAAGTTTTTAGGATGGGAGCAAAAATAGTGCATAGTTCAGCATAGGTGATCCTGACAGAATTCACATGCATCGCAATTGACATTCACGGCTCATGTAGATCTGAATGACCAAGGAGAGAAACTTCAACCACATCCTCTACAAGATTCAAAGGACAAAGTTACCATCTGTGACTTCTTCTCTATCCATAAGACACACTTCATGGCAAGTAGCTGGATGAGGATGGGTATTTGTCTCAGATGTCTTTCTGAATGAACACACATCCACAGACATACAAACAGAAACCCAGACAGGCAAACAGGCACAGGGAATCCAGTCAGGGCATAAAATTGTCCACTGTTTTCAGAGAGGAAATGATTTTCCTATGGCTTTGGAAATGGATGATGGATGAACTGGAAGTCTACTGTTCCGGCTAGTTGTAAGAGTCATTAGTTCATGGTTTGGGATAACCTTTGAAGACTCCAGACCCAGAGACCAAAGCTACAAGATGGAGGAACAGAAAACAGTGACTTTCAGAGCTGAGATATGCAAAGAAGGAAACATAATCTGAACAGTCCTTCGTTGTCTAACATAAGGGATAACCAGTTGTTTGTAGCTACAAGTATTGTAGTAATGAACACCACTGTACAGGAAAGCTTAGCCAATACTATAAAGATACTTACCAACATATTCCGAATTTCATCCCCCATCATCCCCTCTTAAGGTGTCGCCAGGTACAATTTTGTTATACTGTGAAAGAGAAACACAAATAAAGTATAAATGCACAGGAATATAATAATGAAAGTAGACTTAGAAATTTTGTTTCTAGTAAATACTCATGCCTCAAAAAACCATACAAGGTAAAGGAGCAAAATGTCTTTGATGTCTGAGGCCAAAATGTTTCTGAGAAGTATATATTATATTATTCAAACACCCACTTTGTTCTCAAGGGGCGTGGTGTGAACGAATGTTTCCCAAAGGCATGTATAAAATTGAGATTTGGTGCCCAGCCCTGGTGCTAAGAAGAGCTCATGAAGCTTTTAAGAGGTGAACCCCAGTAGGAGGAAGTTACATCCAAATATTATGTGTGGAGGGAGGCAAGGAGGACATGTGTGCGGGCGGGGTGGGGGAGAGCAGGGAGGCAGCAATAGTGACCGCCACCTCTCCACTCTTTACCCTTCTTAGCTCCCATGAGGTGATGAACTGTTTACCATAAGACACCCACCACCATGTTCTGCCCACCACAGCACCATAGTCAAGAGCCAAAGGACTGAAACCTCTGGAGCCACAACCCCAAATACACCTTTCCTCCAGGTGTTATCTCACAGTGATAAAATATGGTTTAGTGAAATCACATAAATGCAATCATTTTTGGGGGGGGGGAGGGGTCCGGTCATGGTTCCTGAACTCTGGGCCTGGGCGCTATCTCTCAGCTCTTCAGCTCAAGGCTAGCGCTCTACCACTTGAGCCACAGCGCCACTCCCGGCTTTTTTCTTTTTGCTTATGTGGTGCTGAGGAATCAAACCCAGGGCCTCATGCATGCAAGGCAAGCGCTTTACCACTGAGCCACCTTCCCAGCCCTAAATGCAATCTCTTTAAAATGTTTTTTAGGTAACAATTGACAGCATTACATGACCTGAGAACAAGCTATTTCGCCATTATTTCCCACTCTCTGTTGACCAAGCTAATGACTTTTCTCTTAACAAGGAGCACATTTGCACCCTGCACTTTTGCAATGGTTTTGCCATTTAACAGGAGAGAGGAAAATATGAAAGACTTTATTTTCCGAATAAATCAAGGATTCATACTGAATGTGGACCATTCACCATTCCTGCTCCTTATTTTATGCATCTTCTTTTGGCTACTGTCAACAGGATATTAAAGTAAGATGATGATGATGTGAAAATTTGTAAACCCAACTCTTTGGTTTCTTCTTCCAGTGTGTATGTCTTCCTTCAACAGAAGGTGTGGTGGCATCCCCTAGTACCTCAACGAGAGTCATCACCCTACTGGAACAGTCACGGGACTCACCTTAGTCACCCCTGCTTTAAATCTGAGGACACAGTCACCACTGACCTGTATCTCAGCAGCACAAAATGACAAACAACTAAAACAGTCACTTTCTTTGTCATCACCTGGCTACATGAATGTCAAATTCTGGGAATAAAGAGACAAAAATCAGATTGAAGGAGTTAAAGGGTTATAGGATTAAAGCATTAAAGGATTATAGGATTAAAGGTTAAAGTGTCTTAGTCTTTTATAGAGCATCCTGTTTTCATTCCATCCTCATTTTCTACCTCTCTGAACATATTAAAGCAGAATGGAAGGTGGTTGGTGGCACATATGTGTCATGTCTATGTTCTCAGCAGATCCCATATACGTGTCACCTCCATGTATGCCATTAATATGACATAGATGGTATTTTCATATCCCTTTCCTCCCAGGGAAGGCTACCACACTGCACAGTCAACCATTGCCCTGGGGAATCTTCTCTCCACATAGTCATCACCCACAAATACAGTACTAGGGAGTTTGCCCCAAATGTGAGCTGAATGCTAATCCATTCTGGATATTTCCATAAAATACTTGAGGCACAAAAATCAAATCTCACTTCTTGACTAAAGAGTCAAGTAAGTGACACTGGTGTAGCTGTACGAGCTCAATCATCTGGCCTCTCATACATTATATTATCTTGTAAGGAAAAAAATCAACAAACCAATATAATTTGCTTGGCTCACTGCCTGGTACCCAGTAGAGGTGCTCTGCAAATGCTAGATTCCCATTCTCCCATTAGAGATCTTTTGGGTACTAAATTTCCTTGCTTCTAGGTCCATTTATAGTCTTTACAAATCGCTTCTCATAACCGGGGCGCTGGTGGCTCACGCCTGTAATCCTAGCTACTCAGGAGGCTGAGATCTGAGGATCGCGGTTCAAAGCCAGCCTGGGCTGAAGAGACCGTGAGACTCCTATCTCCAATAAACCACCAGAAAACGGGAAGTGGCGCTGTAGCTCAAGTGGTAGAGCGCTTGCCTTGAGCTGAAGAGCTGAGGGACAGCGTTCAGGCCCAGCGTTCAAGCCCCACGACCGACAAAAAAAAAAAAAAAAAAACAAATCGCTTCTCATTCAAGCTTTCTTTCTTTCTTCTTTTTTTGGGGTCCGGTTGTGGGGCCTGAACTCTGGGCCTGGGTGCTGTCCCTCAGCTCTTCAGCTCAAGGCTAGCGCTCTACCACTTGAGCCACAGCACTACTTCCGGCTTTTTTCTTTTTTCTTATGTGGTGCTAAGGAATCGAAGCCAGGGCCTCAAGCATGCAAGGCAAGCGCTCTACCAATAAGCCACCTTCCCAGCCCTCATTCAAGCTCTCTAAAGAATGTGAAGATCACCCAGGAAGAAAGTTGGTTTCCAACAGTCATAAGCAAGTGACTACACAGTGCCACAGCTGAAAAGATTTCCTGTCCCTGTTCTAAGCTCTTAAAAAACTAGTAACACAGGGGAAACTGAGTGCTGGTAGCTCACGCCTGTAATCCTAGTTACATCATGTTTCAAAGCCAACCCAGGCAGTGAAATCAGTGAGACTGTAATGGCCAATAAATTACATAAAAAAAAAAAACACAGAAGGAGAGCTGCAGCTCAAGTGGTAGAGCACTAGCCTTGAGCAAAAGAAACCCAAAGACAGCACTTAGGCCAGGACCAGGGGGAAAAATTACAGGAGAAATTACAAGCTGAGGCAAGAAAACTAAACTAAGTTATCCAGTATCAAGTAAATTCTCTAACCCAGCAATACTTAATTGCTAAAAAGGAAATATAATTTGCTAACAGGATTCAGAAACATACTTAGTCTTGAAAAGAGTAACTATCTTCTTGTAAGAAGTAGTAGGGTTTTAGTTTGCTGGTTTTTTATTTGTTTTTTATTTTTTATAGACCCTATTATTATGGACAGTGAAGATATAAAACTTAATGTAGCATGCTAGGCCCTACATAGAAGAAATCCTAGACTCTATGTACCGTTCTTCAGTGTAAGTATCCCAGATTAAACAATGTGGCTGGCCTACCTTTTCCATGATATACAAGTTTGAACTGTCAGCATGTTGCAGTGCAAAGCATTCATGGTTGGCAAGACACCACCTACAAAACATAGCATAAGTGATCAGAGAAACAAAAGTGTTTATCTTCATTTTTATTAATTGTTGGGGGTGAGCTGAATTACATTCACCATGATTTGAATAGAGCCAGTCTCAAATAGGCACAATGGGGAATCTCTAAACAAAATGACTTTAACTCACCTATTACACTGAGACCAACAGTGCTTTCCTCTTTGAAGTTCCTAGACCAAGGCTACTGCTCACCTTTAAGCATTTCATCTTCAAGGCTTGGGTGGGGGACTTAAACTGTGAGTGGCAACATTCTTCTTTTGAAGAATTGAGGCAGAGAAATGATAGCAAGGCAAATGGCAGCAATTTAAACGTGTGAGAATTAGTACAATGCCAATTGTCACTGAATTCTCTAACTCACAATCAGTCCACTCCATACAGATACTCCATACATACACCAACTAAGTCTTCTCTAACATCCTCATGATATTCTGTTCACAGTTCTGCTTTACAAGTCAAGAAATACCATGCGACTTTGCAATGTACCCTTCCCCAGGATTGTTAGGACAGCCCCGAAGAAGGGGAAAAGCCATGTCAGTCAGTGAGAAAAGTCCACAAAGCACACAATTACCCATGGACTTGTCTGTTAATTCTGCCATCTTCCACAGGGGCCTGAGGGATGCTTTCAGTGTATGTCAGATAGTGTGTATTTAACTCTCAGGAACCTTTAGTCAAAAGGTTCCCTGTTTGGAAGGACAAAAGGAACACAACTGTTTAAAAGAAATAACACCAACCCACTGTACACATGGAGCCAGCCATTCCATGCTTTCTAATCTTCGAGGAATAGGGGAAAGATTTTGGTGGAAAAAGAAGGGTAACTCTCACAAGGTAATTCTTTGTGACTAGGTAGGTCACATGAAGAGTTATGAGTAAGATTTATGGTTATCATTCATTTACAGGATTATGGATAATATTTTATCCCTCCAGTGGAAATACTCTATGTTCCTGCCAAAGTATGGACTGAATGCTTCAGAAGAATCTTTGCAACACTTACCCATCACACACCTCCTTGATTATTGCAGACATGGTTTTTTTCTGCAAAATAACAAAAAAAGGAAACATTGTGAAGTTTCATCTCATCATTTTACATTTTAAAAAAACCTAAAACTTAGCAAGGAGAATTTCCATTAACTCTTCTTAGTTGTGAGTGAACTCTTACATTCTCAGGGTTCACAACCTGCTAGCAAGTCACTACCTAATCTATTAATGATTTATTTCCTTGTGGCCCTTTTTTTCCTATACTTAGCATTAATTGTACAAAGTATATAATGTATTTAATTTTGCCTTGTTAATGTTGAGACAAAAATACATGTTATTCAAAGATCTCCCAGGCAAACAAAAATTTGCAAGTTCAAGGAATAACCAGAATCAAGCAAGCAGCCAACTGGCTTTATAAAGACAAGTTTGGATTCATGAGATTTTTATGAAGAGTGTGGCAAATGGGACATGAGATGTTGCAAAATTGTTCCTGCAGAGTGCACAGGATTCTTCCCCCAAGTGTGGCCCCATTAAATGCCAATCTCACAGCATATTTGGTCTAACACACTGGAGTAATGTGAGCAGGACTCCATGTGCCACCGTGTCAACTGGCGCTGACCACAGCTGTGCTCCGGTCCTCACAGCCACACTTGTGCTCGGCCTGTCCCCCCCGAGTGAAGGAATGCAGCAAGGAAACATTCACTTGCCCAGAGATCTCCAAACTCTTTCTGTTTGGGATGTGGACAGACACTGTCTCCAAGTCAGGGAGGACTGTGTCCACCAAGAGAACTAATCACAGATGAGAAACGGATGGTGAAGACAGGAAGAGAAAACCAAGAAATATAATGCATAGTCTTGGATTTTCAGATATGCCCACCAAGAAAATCATATATATATATATATATATATATATATACATATATATATATATATATATGTATATATATATATATGCATACATAGATACACACATATATGCATATTCCTATCTATACATATACATGTGTATGTATGTGTGTGTGTGTGTGTGTGTGTGTGTGTATATATATATATATGAATGTATCAATGTAGAAGCATGGTCTAACACTGCCTCTCTGACAGTAGGGTGAGTTCACTTCCTAGTTCTGTCAACTTGTCTGTATGTCATCCAGCACTTCCTTACTCTGCCCCACTAGCAATTTCTGTCATGCAAACCGAACTTCTGCATTGCTCAAGGCTGTTGGGAACATAAATCGCTGTAAATTAAATAGGAATTAATTTGTCAAAGTGAAACATCCCAGAAAGGGAGAGGCCTCCTTTTTCCTCAAAGAGCTTTTTATCCCCAGAATCTACTTGTGTGGACACAATGTCACTCCATCTGCTCTACTGGAGAATTCTGAGCACTGTCCATAGAGTCTTCCCCCAGTACCCCTGTAGCTCCTGTGCAATTCCTCAGCTCATTGTGCAGCAGGTGACCTACACTTCGCTACCTCAACATAATCAAGACAGTGTCTGCCTCTGCCCAGAGCTTTGCTAAACACAGTTCCTGAGAGAAGAGAAAACAAGAATATCTGTGTTTTCACATTTTTAATTTATTTAAATATTTTTGTCTGTGTTTGTTTTGTTGCCAGACCCTTTACCTATTCTAGGGTTAAGACACAGACAGGGTACAGACCAGAGGCACATGAGTGTCTAATGTTTAATTATCCACTCACAGAACTGGCCTGTCCACTGGCACATTTATGCTAGCTATTTTCAGACAGTTAATAAATCATCTTTACTTTTTATTCTCACACATGTGTATAATACAGGAGGATTTCATTACTATATTCCATAGATGGACACATGCACTTAGAACAAGTTTGCCCTTTGTTTTATTATCACATTTCCTTAACTGCCTGTTCACAGTGTTGAGAGGGGTTCTTTATGTTATTTTCATCTATAGTGTATGTACATATATATGTCTACATATATAGATATGAATGCATCTATACATAAATGTGTGTATATATGTTTGTCTCTATCTTTCTGTCTATCTGTTCTTCATCTTACACATTAACCCATACTCCCCATTTACATCCCTGCCCCACAACCAATCACCTTTAACCATAATGGGTTAACTTTCATAGATATTCCTTCTAAACTGGGGGGTCTTGCTCAGTGGTACAATATACACTTCTATGCATGAAGTCCTGTGTTCAAAACTCAGCACCAAAAACAGTTACCTATTTAATCCAACTTCACTCTTGTACCCATAAACCATCTTCTATTCACTCACCCCACCCCATTTTCATGTTCTGGTAATCATCAGTCTATTCCCTAGTACTTCAAGACTAACCATTTAGCTTTTACAGGTAAGTGAAAACATGTAGTATGTCTTTTTTTTTTTAAGGGGGATGATTTATGTAATTTAACATACTGTCCTGCAGAACTAATCACTGTAAGTGGGAAGATTCAGGACTGAGGGTTGGAGGGGGCATTCTTGACATCCTGAGTTGGTTTCCTCTACAACAAGAATGGAAGTGGTGACAGAGGTCTATAATGGTACACTCCTTGCACAAGTCCTTGGTCTTAGCAAGGACTGGTCAGCCTGTTATGGCTCTCACTGTGAGCAAAGTGGCAGACTATTAAATGACAGAGGAGTTTTAGGAACAAAACCTCTCCCAGGAGACAACAGTTTTGTACTCCTAGCTTCCAAAGACCCCTTCAGATCACCAGTATGTGGTAAGGTCCATCAACGACTCTCCCATTGCCAAATCTGACTTCTTACACCCTCAAAAGTAAAGCATAAATAAGCAGGCTGGGGTTTGATCTTAAAAAACATGGAAGCCACAGATCAGAAGAGAAGGAGACTGTTGCTGAGGTAGGACAAGACTTTGAATGCAATTGTTCTCCCCAATTCAGCTTTTTAGGTGAGGCTTTCCAGCGCATACTGTGAATTTTAATTAAAGTCTGATTCATAGATACAGAATCAAGTATAAAAAGATGATGTCAGGGCTGGGAAAGTGGCTCAGTGGTAGAGTGCTTGCCTTGCATGCCTGAGCCCTGGGTTCGATCCCTCAGCACCACATAAGCAAAAAGAAAAAAGCCAGAAGTGGTGCTGTGGCTCAAGTGGTAGAGCGCTAGCCTTGAGCTGAAGAGCTGAGGGACAGCGCCCAGGCCCAGAGATCAGGCCCCACGACCGGACCCCCCCCCCCAAAAAAAAGTCAGATGTCTCTGGAGTTCTATTGTATCTAGAATATTCTGAACTTGAATATATAACATGAACAAAAACCACCAAAGTACAAACCTTAGAGACTCAATACAGAAAGATTAAAGAAAAACCACCACAAGGAACGGCAGCTATCTGAATACCTACCATGCAGCTTAGCCAATGAAAATGACGTTAGGGACAGGGCTTGGCCTTAGGGTCCATTTTCTGGTACTTCTATCTGCTCCAATCAAATGTGTGCCCCTCAACCACCCAGACCCTAATCCCAACAATGTTTTCAGAGCTGACCTTGGATTTCCATTCTTGTCTTCTTTCATCAATCAGTTCGTGGATCTCATTGTATTATTCTACGTCTGTGGTTCTGGTTCCCAACACTCTTAAACATCTCACTGTTAGAGCATTTGAACTCTCCTCCATTAACTGATGAAATGTACAAGCATAAGTCATCACACCCAGTTCCCTGGGCCTCCATATGCCCCAGTAGTACAGCAGGTTCTCCCACCTCCCCACCCCACCCCAACACCTTCGCTGGCTCTCTGTGTCTACACTGCAGCCCAAGAGAAGCATGGACTTCTACTTCTATCTTCAATCTCCCCATCCCTTGTCTTGTTATCTGATTTCCTGCCTCTCTCATCTCAACATGGGATGACCATTACAGTACACACGCACACACACACACACACACACACACACACACACACAGCGACTCTGCTGGAAGATGGGGATGCTTCAATTAGATAACGTTATTGAGGTAGAATATTAGTGATTTTATAAGAAGAGAAGATCAAAAGACATCCATTCAGGCTTTCTAGGGACCACTGGAAAGTTCCAGAAGACAAAGCATTACTGTGGCCCCAGAGAAAGAAGGGCTTGTGAGGGGAGGGAGACAGTGGGCTTTGGGATCAGGTCTGTCTCCAGTTTCAGGATGCATAATTAGAACAGGATGGATCTACAGGATGGATAATTACCACATATACACCCTCAGCCACAGCAGCACCCCCAACCCTGAGAGAGCAAAAGGCCCTGGGAGAGGCAGGAGACCCAAGGGCCCAGATTTGCTCTGCTTCCAGAGTGAACTCAGAAGACTCAACTTTGCGGTTGGCTGTGTGTGCTACTTGGCTTCAAAGAGATGCGCACAGCTCAGCCACTCAAGCATCAGGATAAACCATAGCAGCCTGGAAAAAGCCAAGATCAGATCAAGTTTCCACAGCTCCAGTTTCCATAACTCACTGAAGCTCTTGATAGCAACTAGGAAAATAATATGCAATTATAGCTTAGAGACATAAATGACTGAAGCCATGTTGCCCTCCATGTGGATAACCACGTTTAGAACCCTTGCCCCCTCCTGCCCCCGCCCCCTTCTCCCCTGGTGTGGTCAGAGATGCTGTGGTCAGAAGCTTGGGTGGGGGGAGGGAGAAACAAGCAGGCTGGTCAAGGGTGGGGACCCAGGGTACCGATGTGGGCTTGACCCAGAAATGCCTCTGTCCTCTGGAGCCCTGGTCTTCTGGTGTGCATGGTATGCATATGCAGGGCCTGTCTGCCAGCTGTAGACGGGGCTGTCATGAAGACCTCTGCTCTCCTCCTCTGGGGGCTCCTGATGTCTAGGACACTGGGACACAGCAGAGTGACACCAAGACAGTGACAGAGGCCTGTGGGAGATGAGGACACCAGGACCTCTGACCTGACACAAACTGGCCCACAGCCTGAAGCTCTCCCCTGACATGGTGACTGTAGGCAGGGTGTGTCTTCAGCAAAAATGGGGACAAAGGGCAGTCACATGGCAGGCAGGCAGGCAGGCAGGCCTGAGAGCAGAGGAGTGTGCATGGGCCCCTGCCTGGCTCTCCTGGAAAGGCTCTCTATTAATGGTCACAGTGCCTCATACCTGGGCATCAGTGCTTCCTTCTGCAACCTTCGCTGGCTCCACAGGGCACAGGACACACTTGCCAGTCCTCCAGAACACTGGGAGTCACCAGCCATGAGCCTCGGGGTGAGACAGCATGACAAGGCATTTGGAGATCAAGTATAGAGCACCTAGAAATCCTGGAAAGCTCCCAGGAGGAGACCACTGAGTGGCATGCCAGATAGTAAGAGGAGCTGTGGGTCCTGGCTCTTCACTTAAAAAGGAACTTGTTCTCTTCTGCTAAACTGCTTGCTACCTTCCTGATTAATTTTAACATAGGGTGTTGCTTCCTTCCTGGGTGTATACCTGGGCCTGGATCCTCCTATGCTAAGAATCTCATTGTGACTGAGATGACAGCCACATACCACCACAAGTGCTCACTTGAAATGGGTTCTTGTGAATGTTTCTGCCCAGGCTGGCCTCCAACTGTGATCCTCACAATCTTGCCCTCCCACATCACTAAAATTACAGGCATGACCTGCAGTGTCCATCTGCATGACTTTGCTGCCCTTGCTGTATTTTTGCCATTAATATTCATTTTACCCTGCTTTCACCCAACTAGAAATTCTGGGCTCCCCATACTGACTTGCTAGGGAACAGCCTGAATCTCAGCCTTACCACCACACTTCTAAGACAAATATGGAGACAATCAAGGGAACAGGGAAGTTAAAGAGAGCTGCCCCTCCTCCCCCCGCAGAAAAATTCTCCCGCTTTCCTGGGTCCTTGGGATCTCTGCAAGCAATTCCCTACTGCAGCAATTCTGAGCTGAGCTCAGCCTCCTGCTCCAGACAGTAAAACAGAGCAGAGCCTCCCTATCCCACTCCTCATCAGACTCCTCCTCCTCCTCCTCCTCCCTGCCTGCCCAGCTCACCCCTACTCACAGAGAACTGCTTCTCCCACAGAGGTGGCTAACTAAGAAGTAAAATATCTGAGATGCAGCCAGGGTGAGCCAAGGAGTCAGGAAACCTGCAGAAGAAAAGGATTAGAAAACAAATTTGAAGAAACTCAAAAGGTCTTAGAATGGATTCCAAGTGCAATGGAAGAAAATCCTGCCCAGAATTGGATGCGCAGGTCCAGCTTCAAACCCAGGCAGCATCAAGCTTGCACCCAGTCCAGGCCACCTGCCAAGGCACTCCCTGGAGACTCACAATTCCCTTGAGACCCTTTCTGGGTGATGCTTTTCAAAGAGGAGGCCAGGACCACCCAGACACTGGTTAAAACCTGGGTCTCAGTGATATCAAGGTGTTCTGAAGTTTGAGACCCAGAAACCAGGCCCATCATCATTCCTGAATGGTGACCGGGCCCCTCTAAATCACTCTTTTAAATGGCTACTGAAAATCCAAAGAAGACAGGAATGGCTAAGCCGACAATTGTTAAGGCTCTCAGAATAGCAACTCTTCAGTCACACTGTTACTGATGGAAGACCTGGTCAAAGCAGAGAGGTGATCCTATCACTGCCCCTACAAAGAAACACCAGATTCCCCAGGGTCCTTCAACTGAGACCTTGGCCCATGGCCTGAGCCTCCCCTCCTGCCCAAGCCAACTTAGGGATGAAGTTCCCTCACAGAGCCCTCTACAGTCCTGAAAAGCCAAGGCCTGTCCCTCAGAAGCCAGTCACCCACATACATGCCCCTCTCCCCATGAAACCCACTTGCCCTCTTCCCAGACATCCTGAGAACACATTTCCTCCCGCTGCAGACCTTCCTCTCATCAATGCCTTTTCTATAAGGACCCCAGCCTTGAACTTTTATCAATAAGCAGAAGGGGGTGAGGGGCAGGCAGGTGCCAGTGGTTTAAGCCTGTAATCCTAGCTACTCAAGAGGCTGAGAATTGAGGATCCTGGTTCAAATCCAGCCCAGGCAGGAAACTCTGTGAGACAATTAACCCCAGAAAAAGCCAGAAGTAGCACTTTGGCTCAAAGTGGTACAGCACTAACCTTGAGCAAAAACTGAAGGACAGCACCCTGGAAGAAAAGAGGAACTAGAAATGTGTATACTGGAAACAGTGTGTAAATGTTAGTTCCACAGAGATTTACATACAGGGCTCAGATAAATGGCTTTTCAGGACCATAGCTGTGGGAGGAAGACAGAAATCCACCCATTCCACTCTCCAAATATACACCAGGACAACACCTCCCATTTCCATATCTCTTTCTCTCTGTGGCATCTTAGAGTCTGCAATGAAGCTTTTTCTTTTCCCCAACCATTCCACCATAAAAGCCATTACTAAGGAACAAGTGCAGGAGGACATGAACTGCTGCACCAGGAGCTGCCGAGCCTGTAAGAAAAAAAGAATGGAGAGGAGGGGGACCAAGATGGGGACGGGGCAGTAGGGAAACGCCACAGCTCTCTCCAACCAAAAAGAGAGTTCGAGTTCCAACGCTTAATCTCCCCAAGAGACCGACAACAACAAAAAGACGAACACTCAGAGAAAAACCAGAGGTGGAAAATAACAAAAAAAGAAAGAGAGGAAAAGAAGAATTTCAGAACAGAGAAGAGCGAAGACCCCTCCCCCAACCTTTACTGGCCGCGCGGCAGTGCCCCAAGCCGCCGGCCAGCCGGCCCGGCGGGGGCTGCCGGAGCCACAGAGACACAGGGGGCTGCTTGCAGATCACCAGGTACCGGATTGCAGAACAGCGGATCCCCAGGAACAGAGAAACCTACCAGCCGGGAGTCTCCACGAGGATCCCACCCCCACCCCTCACTCTCCACCGGAGCGGAGAGGCTCCATCCCGCCAAAGCCGCCCGGCACCAGCAGCACTACGAAGGGACCTGTCCGCAGACCACCCGCCCAATCACGATCGCAACCACCCGGCGGGGGGCCGCCCAACCCAGCCCGCAACCACCCCAACTGAACTCGGATTGCAACAACAACTGACGACCTACAGGGTGAGTACCCAACAGGGGACAGTGAATCCCTCAAGGGAGACCAGAGCTGGAGGGAATCCCCAGACCCTGACCTAGACTCCCTACCCCAACACCCGGACCACAGGACCCACTAAAACTGGGAACTGTTCGAGAGCTCCACCAGCCGGTGGAGCACACTCTGCTGGCCAGGCCAGAGCAAGAGCGCCCCTGGAAGGGAGCTTAAATGCCCAAGCCAGGAACAGCGCCCCTGGGTCAAGACTACCAACAGTAGAAGAAATTTGAACTGTGTCCTCCAGGCTGCATAACCTAGGTGGTATACACATTAGCACAGGCCTAACGAGCGCGCTCCAGGCTGGGCCCGGAACCAGGCCCGGGGACTGGCGCCTGAACAAAGCAAAAAGGGTCAGAAGTGGGGCTGTGGCTCAAATGGTAGGGTGCCAGCCTTGAGCTGAAGAGCTGAGGGACAGCACCCAAACCTAGAGTTCAAGCCCACAACCAGCCCAAAACAAACAAACAAAAACACATCAGGAGCCCATAGCAGACTCCAGTATTTGGGAGAGTGCATCCAGAGCATCTGATCTTCCCAAGAGCACCCGCAGGAGCAAACACAAGCAGTCTAGGCTGCTCAACCCTTCCAAAGGCGGGAATTGCTACAGCAGAGAGCTGAGAATCCTAAGTAAGTCAGAATAGCAGCTGG